TCCCTCAGGGCAAAGTAGCATGGACGTGAGATAAGGTGCAGCGGCCGCGAGGCACTCCAGCTCAAACTGCCTGACCTCAAGGACGTCACAGCCAAGGTCAAGCTCACTCTTGATGGACGGGGGACAGGAAGAGTAAAAAACAAGACTCGCAGTGTAGTCAAGGCGTCACAAAGTAGCAAAGTCAACAAGCTCAGCAACTAAGGCAGACGTAGCAGCAGACTCAAAGGAAGGGCCAGTCACAACTGAGGCCAGGAGACGTGTGACGGTAGGACTAGCAGCACCAGCAAGGTTAGACTCAGGGTCAGGAACGTGAGGAAGAGAAGACGTAGGAGGTGATGGCAGGACAACACGCTCTGGAACAGAGGAAGGACGAAGTGCCATGATGTGTGTGCCAGGGACAGGAGGAGGACGAGGACGGACAGCACGACGAGCACGGACAGGCGTGACAGGACGCGACGCAGGCTCTCGACGCTCAGTGAGGGACTCTGTCACCGCAGTGTGTGGAGTAGGAACAGGCAGTGGGGAGTAAGGGAGTAGCTATGGTTAACACTGGTCAGGCAGTGGAAACAATAATGGAGTAGTGCCAGCAACAGGGAACTCAGTAACAGCAGGCGGGAGACTGAGAAGGTGACTAAGCGCAGACTGTTGCGGCTGAGTAGTCGCACCCTCAGGACCTCCAGCTCTAGTAGCAACAGCAGCACCTCCATTATCAGCATCGCCAGGACCTCCGACTCCAAGACCAGCAGCACTAGCTCCTGCAGGGCCAGTACCTCCAGTACCTCCAGCTCCAGCACGACCAGCCCAGCCATCGGGGCTGCCCCACCGGACAGCCCACTCTCGAAGCCGCTCCGGCGAGAGAGGCTCTTATCGACGTGAGACAGGACCACCCGCAGCAGCACCCACAGCAGTAGCACTTCCAGTACCTCCAGTAGCACATGTGTCTCTAACACCTCTAGCACCATTACCTCCAGCACCAGCACCTCCAACACCAGGAACACCAGCACTAGCACCTCCAGGGCCAATACCTCGAGTACCTGCAGCTCCGGCACGTCCAGCGCCACCACCAGGACTGCCCCAATGGACAACCCACTCGCGAAGCTGCTCCGGCGAGAGAGTCCCCTGCCGACGTGCACCAGCACCACCAGAACCTCCAACAGCAGCACCTCTAGCACCCACTACACCCGTAGGACTCGCACCACCCCCAGAGCCAGCACCCCCAGAGTCACCACCCCCAGCAGCACCAGATTCCGAAGCAACGGGCTGCAGAGGCGGTGAAGACGGCCGAGGCGGAAACCCAGGAGGGACCGCCAGGCGGACGCAGCGGCGAGGGACCACGGTGTCGGTAGCAGTCGGGTCACCCCCCTCAGATGGGCCAGAGGTGTCAGAGGGGACCTCCAAAGGCTTAGCCAAGGAGGATGGGTCTACCTGAGACACACTTGAGGGAGCGGGACCGGAAGGAGGGAAGGGGGCTACCGGGGGTGGGGGGGGGTCGACAAGCAGGGAGAGCGGCGGGAGGGGTACTGGGGAACTGCAGTGGGGGTGAAGACGGTAGAAGCAGACTGACTCGTCAAAAGTGACATCGCGGGAGGACAGCACACGACAAGAGCCCGGGTGGTAAAACTGCCAGGGCGGTGCGTCAGTGGGAAAGCCAAGGAACACGCACCGAAGAGTGCGTGGGGAGAGCTTGTCCGCAGGCAGATCGCGAACAAGAGAGAGGGAACCCCAGACCCAAAACTTCGACACATCGCCAACGTTCCCCGTCCAACGCAGTATAGGCGAAATCTGCGACACGGAGACACGGGGCCAGAGGATAAGCTGATGCGTGGCGTATCGGACTGCAAATGGCCACTGAAAATGGGTAGCAGTCGCATGAATTATGGAGGTACGAGCAACCTCCATGACCAAGCCGATGCGGCGCTCGACAATCCCATTCTACTCTAGAGAGGCCGGAAGCGTGAACATCTGGCGGATGCCCTCAGCACCACAGAAGTCCTGCAGGAGGCGGGAGGAAAACTCACCACCTCGGTCATAGTGCAGCCGCATGACCGGAAGGTCCTGGCGGGACAGAGCGCTAAGCTCGAGACGGACAACGCGGATCCAGCGGATCAAGACACCCCGGACGTCCGCCTTGCTCTGCAAGGGGAAGACCGTGGTGTAGCGCATGTAGTCATCGACAACGAGAAAAAAATAGCACTTCCCACTCTGTCCAGTGCACGTGCGAGGCCCCACACCTCCATGCGGAGGGTCTGCAGAGGAGCCGTGGTAGGAGGAAACGAGGAGGAGTGAGGAGCGGCTCGCTGCCGCCCCTCGACGCAGGAAAGGCAGGGGTTTGCAAGCAACCTCGGAAGTGGGGACAGGGACCTGGGGAGACCAGACACAAGGAGACGGGAGTGCATGCCACACAGGCGTGGGAAGGAGGGGTGACCAAGACGGTGGTGCCAGAGGAGAGTCTAGTGCGCGAGGAGACGTTACGAATAGGACGCTGCGACCTCAACCAGCGCAGCTACCTGACGCGACTCAGCGAACAGTGCGGACTCAGTAGTCAGTGTGTACAGACCAGACCCGGGCCCCCGAGTGAACGTGGCAAGGTGCTCACCAGGGCGCGAGTCCGTACAGATCGCCACAAGCTCTCCGCCAGGCTGGGTGACAGTGACCCACTAGTCCTGGAGGACAAAGGTAGCCACCAAGTTCTTAGCAAACGAGGGGAGGTGGAGACCTGTGAGAGTACCTAAGGGGACTGCCGGATACGGGAGAACAATGGAGCCCCGTGCAACGACGGGGCCACCAGTGGGGTCAGCCAGAGTGATAGGAACCGGGACTGCGAGCGGTGTGACTGTGGTGCTGTCGCGAAGAAGAGTGAGACGCACCTCAGTCTAGAGTGAAAGACTGCAATGCCTCCTCTGGCTCTGCACCTGTCCTATCTGAGTCACAAGCACCTAGACTAGTAGTCTTTACACCACCAGGTGCCTCTACACCCTCAGCACTAGTACCCCAAGTCCCTCCACCGGGGCTGCCCCACCTGACCGCCCACTCAGAATGCTGCTGTGGCAAAAGCGGCTTCCACCGACGAGCACGGCTAGCTCCGCCACTTGGGCTGCCCCACCAGATGGCCCACTCACGAAGCTGCTGCGGCGAGAGAGACTCCGGCACACTTGGCTGCCACTGATGCGGGACAGTGAAAGTGGCCATGGTAGGCAGTGTCAGTCAGCAGTAGCGGCTCAAGGGCTGAAGTAGCGTCTGCAGCAGCGGTAGCTGGAATGGTAGGTGCAATGGCAGCAGTGGTAGGAGCAGTAGCAGTAGCAACTGTAGGAGCGCGCGCAGGCGATAGCAAGGGCGGCAGCGGTAGTTGGCAGTAGCAGCAGAAAAGGGTGGCTCAGTAGGGCTGCTTGATTGGGCAGCTCAGTTTGGCGGCACGGAAGTAGCAGCAGCAAGCGCGCAAGCAGGACAGAGCAGGGTGCGAGCTGGTGGTGCAACAATGCAGCAGGAGCAAGGTAGGGGCATGAGCAGGCGGCGCATGGCAAAGTGCGGGCGGCTCAGGCAGGGCGCACGCAGGCGGTGCGAGCAATGCAACGCGCAGGGCAGTGGGCGGTGGGCCAGCAGCAGGCAGCAGCTGCGGATTGGCAGGGCAGCGCTGGCGGCGGCCAGGCAGGGCAGGGCAGCGCTGAGCAGCGCGTGAAGGCAGGGCAGCAGTGGCAGCAGCCAGTAGCAGCAGCGGCAGTGGCCAGCAGCAGTGGCGGAAGTAGCAGGCAGCAGCTGCGGATTGGCAGGGCAGCGCTGGCGGCGGCCAGGTAGGGCAAGGCAGCGCTGAGCAGCGCATGCAGGCAGGGCAGGGCAGCAGTGGCAGCGGCCAGTAGCAGCAGCGGCAGTGGCAGCAGCAGCAGGCAGCAGCTGCGGATTGGCAGGGCAGCACTGGCGGCGGCCAGGCAGGGCAGGGCAGCGCTGAGCAGCGTGTGTAGGCCGGGCAGCAGTGGCAGCAGCCAGTAGCAGCAGTGGCAGTGGCCAGCAGTAGTGGCGACAGCAGCTGCGGATTGGCAGGGCAGCGCTGGCGGCGGCCAGGCAGCGCAGGGGAGCGCTGAGCAGCGTGTGCAGGCAGGGCAGCAGTGGCAGCGGCCAGTAGCAGCAGCGGCAGTGGCCAGCAGCAGCGGCGGCAGCAGCAGGAAGCAGCTGCGGCTCGGCAGGGTGCCCAGGCAGGGCGCGCAGGCAGGGCGCGCACAGGGCAGGGCAGGCGCGCGCAGGCTGTATGGGCTGCGCGCGGACCTGGCGCGGGCTGTACAGGTTGCGCGTGGGCCTGGAGCAGGCTACCACGGGCTGTGCGCGGGCGGCGCGCTGGTTGTGCGGGCAGCTCGCGGGCGGCGTGCGGGGTGTACAGGCTACGCGGCAGGGCAGCGAAAGCGCTGGGGAGGGCAGAAACGTCAGGCAGGGCGGGGCAAAAACGAACGCCGGGCAGGAACGAAACCACGGTAATGTGGTGGGCCCTTTAAAAAATTAAAACGCTCCTAGAACCGGACCTGCTCTGATATCATGTGAGAACTAGGAATGACTAGATTAGGTCAAGGGAGGGGTACAAGACAAATGTCGAGAGAAAATGTTGTACCCCTAAGGGGGCAACTCACTACAGGCTAAACTAACATATGCAATATAACTTTGACAATGAGATATGACATTTGTAGCTGCGCGTCAAAACAGACTCGCGATTCATTGGAAATGCTTTGGCGCCACGCCTCTCCACGTGCTACATCTCAGGATCATCTTACCAGTACAATTGCTAGTTAGACCATGCCAACCACTGAAGGGAGTGTTGTGCAAGGAATGCAATTCCAGAGGTGGCTGGTACCAGAAAAGAATAGATAACTTGTGTGCTTCATGGTCGAGCGTCAATACACTTCGAGAGAACGAAACTGAAACATATGCATACAACTAGGAGTTCTGCATGTGAACGAGACACCATGAAAACATGAATAATCAAGCTACACTTGGTCTGCAGTGCAAACTAACTACAGCTACAAGGGAGAAAATGAGGCGCCGTGAACAGTGAGCGGATAAATGAGGTCGAGCACGACAGTGCAGTTGAACTTGAGGGACCCCCCCGGTGGGATGACCACCGCATTGTCGGGTTCTCCCAGTGGCGGGAGTACCTGCGAGGAGGAATCAGAATGTTGGAGTTGAAATGAATGTGGAAATGGAGGAATGGATGGAGATCAGGGGGAGGAAGAGCTAGGAAGAGGGAGAGAAAGAAGGGAGAGGGGACAAGGAAGGAATGGCAGTGGGAGGAACATGATTCTTCCTAAGCTGAATCAACCTTCAAGACAAGGAGTAAAGAAACAAGCAAGTGAGGGAGGGCAGGAGCGAATTAAAGAGGAAGAGAGCGAGTGAAGGAGAGTAAGAGTGCATTCAAGAGGAAAAGAAGGAGTGAGGGAGAGCAGGAGTGAGGGAGTTGGACCTTGTAGTTTGTGACGATGCTGAGGGAGTCAGGCTCTGAGACCAGGAGGCGTGGCAGGAGAATGTAGGAGCGCAGGCGCAGCCCCGTCAAGCTGATGCTCATGGCAGCGATGGCACGCTGCTTACATGTGTTGGTCAGAGTCACCTGTGCAGGGAAGGTTGGGGGCAGGGGGCGGGGAGAGGGAGGGGATAGGAGGAAATGGAGGGGGTGGGGGGGGGGGGGGAGGGGGAGGGGGTGGGGGGGGGGGGGGAGGGGGAGGGGGTGGGATAGAGGAATGGATTGTGGAGAGGTATGGGGGTGAGAAGTAGAGAATGAGAGACCATGTGAGGTGATCAGATGGGGGTTTGCATAGGGGGGAAAGAGAAGGGATGGAAGAGAAAAGAGGACTTGTTTGTGAGTAGCCACGCTAAACCATCGAGTAGGGAGTGAGTGATTATAAAACGAGCTTACAGTTTTGTTTGATTCCGCCCTATATTTCAATTTTTTTCCTGGTGTGTTTGTGGCGAGACCTTATAAGGGAAGAAGAGAAGCATGGATATGGTGTGGGGAAACAGAGGGCGGGAAAGACCTCGTAAGGGTACAGGGAGAGCTGGGATGAGGAGGTTGGGAAGCGATAGTCATAGCGCACTGACTTCGCCGTCACTGCTTCATTTGCACTGCCGTCCCTGCACTCTGCTCAAAGGGAGGAGGGGGATGGGGTTGTGGAGGAAGAGGTGAGAGAGAGAGGGAGTGGAGCACCAAGCACGCAGATGATGAAGAGGAAAAGAAGCAGGGAGAGGGACGGTAGCGAGTAAGGAGGCTGGAAGGAGAACGATCTGGAGCACAGCAGGATGTGAGGTTCTGAGGGACGTTAGGAAGGAAGTTGGAGTTTGTGAGAGAACATGGTAGGGTGCGGAGGGAGGTGGGAATACGGGAGAGGGAGGACGGATAGGGGTGGAGGGTGGAGGGAAGGGGGAGGAGGGACGAGGGAGAGGGGAAGAGGGGACGTGGATGAAAGGAGAAGGAGGGTGGGAGGCAGGGCGACAGGTCACCTGGCGGCAGGCTAATGGCTTGCTGCAACGGGCGTCCCAGAGAGGGCGATGGCAGCGTTGACAGCAGTGGTGGTGATGGTGATGCTGCCTCAACCGCACTACCCGATGCTAGCACCCGATGCATGGCACGATCCAGACCGCCGGTGCTGCCGGCCGCTGCTGCTGCTGCTGTTGCTGCTGCTGCTGCTGCCGCCTCACGTGTGTTGTCTTCATCGTTGCCAACAAAAGTATTGCCAGCAGCAGCATCGTTGGCAGTAGCAGCAGCGACATCGTTGGCAGTAGCAGCAGCGGCATCGTTGGCAGTAGCAGCAGAGACATCGTTGGCAGTAGCAGCAGCGACATCGTTGGCAGTAGCAGCAGCGGCATCATTGGCAGTAGCAGCAGCGGCATCGTTGGCAGTAGCATCAGCATAAGAAGATGAGCCCAACAGGATCGTGACTCCATCGCTGTCAGCAGCAGCATCCTCTGTCCCGGCGCTGCTAATATTCCACCCTTCCCCGCCGTCATCACCACTTTTCTGCTTCTCCCTTCTCTCCACTTCTCCCTTCTCTTCCTTCTTCTGCTCAGCTCGCAACGTCCGCCGCACCACCTGCTGCCTCAACCCCACCTGCACGTCCCCGTCATACTCCGCTCCTTGGCGCAAAACTCCCGCTCCTCTGCGCGCCCCGACCCCCCAAATTCCCACCCCCGTCGTCCCCGCAAGCATCAGCGCCATTGAGAGAGCGCGCCAGTACATGGCCACGGGGGAGAGGTGTGCGCCCATGGTCGCACGGGGAGCGGCTGGGATGGAAGAGGTCCGCGTACACAGAGGATGGAAGGTGCAGCTATTACTTGTATATATACAAGTAGAATAATCACAACTATACTAGCACCAGATGTCTCGGGTACTTCAAGAATAGTACGCCAGTTGTAGCGCTAGAAATTGTAGTGGATCCAGTCCCGCGCTGATTTATCTTCACGCACTGGCCGGGTACAGGCTGACTACAGCCATATGGCTGCCAGTGGATAGAGGGAAAAAAAGCGATTGCGACTCCTGCTGCCGTCTTTCCCGTCAATAACAACGCTCCCGTGCCTTCGTTTTGCAGCAGACGGAAAACAGAGGCTGGGAGGAGAGGGTCAAAATGGGAGAGGCTCTCCCGGCGGGCCAGAAACGAAACCCGTGAGGCAGAAAATTGATAATCTCGAGAATTCTGATACTTCCGACCGTTCTCTGTGAGATATATATGCACATAGACCCATCGTTATCTTACGGAATTGCCTCTGATTATTCTGCGAGGCATGTGGACCGGCGAAGGCGCGCGACAGGATCATTCATGATGCAACCGGCGAGTCGGCCGCGGAGGGCGGAGGGCCAGGATGACGAACGCCGAGAGGTAGGCGGGCGGGATAGTAAGCGCGGAAAACTCTAGGGACCCAACCCCTCGTATCCAAACGCAGCAGTCCATGGTACGCGGAGGCAAGCGGAGGAGGCAGGCTGCGGGAATGCTCGGAAAAGCGGGAAGTCGATGAATCCGATTCACAGGAGTCTGATGGGTTGAAAGGTCCTGGCGGAGCTCTAAGATCAGACGATTCCGCCCGTCGTCGTCTCCTGGCGTCTGCCTGTGGAGATCCCGAGGCACAGGAGCATGCAGCAAGCTGCGACGCGGCGCGGTTACATGCGAGGTTCATGGTGGCTGGGTGCAATTGCTCGCTAGTAAGTGCCTTGAAACGGAGGGAGTAATGCGGTTGACAAAACGCGCGAATGGCGGCTGGGGAAAAAAGGTTGCTTGCGAGCGATGAGTGCGGTTTGAGTTCGGAAATTGGGAGACGAAACGGCGGAAGACGAAACGGCACAACCTCCTACAGAGAAATCTTCTCATTTGATTGATGCTTATGATTACCTTACCTTGGCAAAAAAATACTCCCCTAATGAGAAATAATCTAGAGAACTAAACAATCAGACCAAAAGCATTATCTCTCGAAAGCATATTGAAATTTAGTATTATAAACTTATTTTAGCATAGATTGTAGTGCAGATACTTGTGCCCAATTATTAGTGATGCACCTTTGCCTATCCCTTCATTCTTGTTGAAATGAAGAGGTCGCTAGAGAAGCGATAAAGAACACACCTGATATTCCTAAACGTAACACGGTGAAACCATACTCATTATGAAGACGAATGGATGCGATGGAAGCGAAAATTTGAATATGGTTATGACTGAAGTTCATTACCTTCGGAAAAAAATTAAGTGATTATGATTATTTCCACGCCATACAGTTGCGATACATCTATTGTAAGAGAATGTACCTTTAAGAGTTCATAGCTAGTTAGGACCTTTCAGATCTCTTTGTAACCCTACATAAACGAATGTATCGTTTTTTATATAATATATGTACTGTCTCAATTCATACAGCAGAATGAGTGTGACTAGCACAAAGTCCTCGCTAGGATTTGAACCCCCCTGATGCGTCACACGGGCCCTTCGGGCCGGTCTGATGCATCAGATATTTCGCCTTTGCGAATCTAATGCATCAGAAATTTCCAAAGAACTTGTCTGACCAATTAAATTAGAGTTTATAGCGTGTAGATGCACGTGGGATAACAAGGTGAGTCTGACATTTCTGGACCTTTCACATTCATTCGCAGTACAAACTGGTGTGATTCGCACTTCACTGGTCTCAGCAAAATCACCCTAACACGGCAGATTCGCCCTGTCAAAGCACAAAATATTCGTCTAATCAGAGCAAATTTTCACTGACACGGCAGATTCGCGACGTCAGAGCGCAACATGTTCATCCACTCATAGAAAACTTGTCCTGACACAAGAGATTCGACCTTACACAACACAGCAGATACGCTTTGACAACCGATTTGCCCTGTCAGAGCATGTTCTGCGGGAAATCCCCGTACTCTAACATGTTTCGATTTCAGACGAAACATATATTACATTTCTGATGAATCAGATGAAGACAAAAAATCATTTCTACTCAATCAGATGAAAAAATGAATCATTCCTTGAAAATCAGATTAACTGGAAAAAAATCGTCTGGAAACTAAGACAAACAGACAAAAATGTCTGATTTCGAGGACCCTGGACTAGCAAGAATGGGGAGTACAAAAGGGGGAAACCTTCAGAAGGGTTGTTCTCTCAAATAGGTGTTGGAATAACCGAAAGGTTATCATAAGCATTCCCGAAGGTTCTTCAATCTCCCGTCACTTCATAACGAAGTAGACGTCTGTATCAGTACCGCGATAGCTCATATAGAGCACGCGGAAGGTAGAGGGTCACCCGAAGGTCTACAATCGAAGACAGTCAACGGAAGGCATGAGGCAGTTACAAGATGCAATATGGTAACTGTCAAGAATGGCGATAGACGTGGTTACTGTAGCAATGTAATTCGGTTAATAGGGGAATGTACCCCTCAGAGTACATGGCTAGCTAGGATTGCTATTTATATTATAATACTCCTATCTTATAATCATCTTGTTCTTTCAAACCTTATAAACAAGGTCACTGCAGAGACTTCATAGTTCTCTTATATACTTAGCAACTTTATACTATCCAACGCGATCCTTCAGTTATAACAGCAAGAGTGGATTAAATGGCCTGCTAAGTTCTTGCTCTTACTAGGACAACCTCCTTATAAATTACTCCTTACATCATTAAAAACTCTGCATTGCTATTGTACCCTATATTGTCTACCCCACTACAACCTACACAGACTATAGCATGTAAGTTTGACACACTCCCATAGGCAAAGTGGGGGAGAACAAGTGGTCACAAGACCAGTCAAGCAAAGCACAGCAAGGTCAGGGTGGATCACAACGTCACCACACATTCTGAGCACAAGTTCAAGGCCACAAGGCCAGTTCACATGAAAGATTATATATGAAGGTAAACAAGCAAGTACACGTATAGACAGATTACAGTACAAGCAAGGTCAAGAAGTGAGCAAGTGAGGCCAAGTATGCACAAGACCTAGTATCGTACAAAACCGCTGATGATCACAAGGCTGAAGTGTCAGAACATATATGCAGCTTATGCTGTTGTGTAGGCTACAGTGGGGTATACCATAGGGGGTACAACCCAATTAGGGTTTTGCTATTTGTACTCACTTCACTCATTGTTCATTCATTCTCGTTCTATTATCCACATGGTATCAGAGCCAAGGACACGGGAAGCCATGCCCCGAAGACGGGGCAAGGAGGGGTGGCCGAGACGGTAGTCCTCCCAGGACGTCACGTTCGACGAGTCAGTCCCCTTCTACCGCCTCTTCCCTTACCATACTCCTTCCCTCCCCCCCCCACCGGACTTCCTGGTGCCAGTTCTCCCCCCGGTAGACCCCCTCCCCCCTCAGGTTCCTGCCCCTTCAGGTGTGTCCCAGGTAGACACAGTCGAGCCAGTCGAGGTTGCTGCTGAGTCTGGTCCTGCTGCGGGTGCAGAGTCTGGGGGTGCTACGCCTGCGGGTGCTGAGCTTGGGGGTGCTGCTGCTGGGGGTGCTAAGCTTGGGGGTGCTGCTGCTGGGGGTGCTGAGCCGGGAGGTGCTACGTCAGGAGCTGCTGAGCCTGGGGGTGCTGAGCCTGGAGGTGCGGAGCCTGCGACTGCTGGACCTGGGGGCTCTCCGGTTGCTCCGTCTCGGCGGGAGCCGCTCTCTCCACAGGAGCTGCGCGACTGGTTTGCTCGCCGCTGGAGGCATGCTGCTGGAGCTGGAGCTCCTTCGACTGCTGAGGGTGCTGGTGCTGCCGGTCCCGGAGCTGCTGGGCCTGCGGGTCCTACTGGAGCTGGAGCTGCTGAGCCTGGGGGTGCTGAGTCTGGAGCTGCTGAGCCTGGGGGTGCTGAGTCTGGAGCTGCTGAGCCTGGGGGTGCTATGACTGGAGCCGCTGAGCCTGGGGTTTCTCCTGGTGCTGCGCCTCGGCGGGAGCCCCTCTCTCCGCAGGAGTTGCGCGAATGGTTTGCTCGCCGCTGGAGGCGTACTGCTGGAGCTGGAGCTTCTTCGACCGTCGAGGGTACTGGTGCCGCCGGTCCCGGAGGTGCTACGCCTGCGGGTCCTACTGGAGCTGGGGCTGCTGAGGGCGTTGGTGCTGAGTCTGCTGCTCTCTGTCCTGCCGGTGGTTCTGCTGCTGGTGCTGCTGGAGGTCCTGCC